GAAGAGAAACCATGTGGTGAAAATGATAAAGGATAAAAGAGGAAATAACAGCTGTGGTTGGGAAAATGATAAAGAAGACACTTCATTTCTGAAAATTATATTTTAAAATAAAAATGGGAGAGAGACATTATAAGCATATCGTGAAGATGATTAACTTTATCACACAGGCACCCAGGTACCCAGGCAACTGTCCTTGAGAAAATGATAAATCAGAAACTGCAGTTGTGAAAAACATTTTTTTTAATTGACAAGGAGAGATATGTCATGTTGTGAATTCATTTTTTAAAATTATGTGGAGTGTTATCCATTTTGAGAAAATGATAACTAAAAGGTACAAGGGAGATAAATCTTTGTAATGGGAGACAATGACAGCTAGAAGATTACAGGATAGATGATTCATAATGGAGAAAAAAAAAGATAAATGATGATAATTCATGGCAAGAAAACAATTGAAAGAATGACAAGAATGACAATTCCAGGAGAAAAACCAATTTCTAAAGAAGACAAGGAAACAATTCTAGTAGGGAAAACAACAACACATTACAGGGATCACAAGAAGAGAGTTAATCAATGTCATCCAACCAATCAAAAGCTCCAGTTTTCTACAGCCGATAATTCCACCGACTTACGCGTTTCTCTTTGGCTCCACTGTGCGGAACACAACAAAGGGAGACAAATAATGTCATCGGACTAATCAAACGTATCGGTTTCTACAGCCCATAATTCCCCTGACTTACGCGTTTCTCTTGGGCTCCACTGTGCGGAAGACCTTGGCGTAGAGATCCATGGCCCGCACCCACATCACCATAGACCGGCACGCCTGGGAAACAACAGAAAATACTCGTGGAAAAACACAATTGAAAAAAAAACTCTTGAAAAATAAAGGAAAATATTCTTGAAAAACAAAAAAACAACAAAAATCTTGGAAAAGAAAAGAAAATACTGTGATTATTTTCTCCTTTCCATTTTGTTTGGGTTTTTCTGTAACATCACAGGCCTGCAAGAGGGAAAAACAAAAGAAAACACTCTTGAAAATTATTTTTTTAAAAATATATTCCGATTTTTTTAGAGGGGTCTCATTTTATTTTTTTCTCTTTCATTTTTTTTAAGGTAAGAGTTTTACAGCACTTGCAACATATATGTGCCAAAGATTTAAGGTGTTACAAGAGAGTAACAAACACAATAAAGGAGGAGGAGAGATAATGACGACAGATGTTTGATAGGAGAGAAGGAGCAAACCACACCAGAACTCACATACACACCAGAACTCACATACACACACACACACACACACACACACACACACACATACACACACACACACACACATACACACACACACA